GCGTTCGCGATATCGCACGCCATATACCCTCGGCATTTTTCATGGAAATTGCCGAGCAACGACGGAAGGCAAGAATGGAGAAAAGCAATACACTGATGGGTGAAAAGGGTGGGCGGGGAGAGAGTGTGCAAACGTAAAAAGGCGGCGTGTGGAATTGCAGCGAGTCTGTTAGCGGTCATCCGGGTTAAGCTATGCTTGGCTTGCGGGCTTTGGTGTGGCCATCGAGGTGGATTATCAGCGACGTAGAAGGCGAACCGTCTTCCGCAAAACGTCCAATCCACCCCCTTCTTGCTGAAACGCCACAAGGGTGCGGTGATCGACTAATCACCCGATAAACCCGCGGCGTGGAGACGCTGCGAGAAAATAATTAACTCCGTTTATTTCGACCAGATCTTTCGGCTTGCGTGCGCTTCGCACACACTTGCAAACGGCTACGTGAATCTTCGCCCTATCTGGAGGGACAGCGTGGAGATGTCCCGATTTGACGTGACAGCGGCAGATTCTCTGTCACGTCAAGCTGTTCTGTCGTGTCCACATGCACTATTGTGCGTGTAACTGCGTGTATTGGATCTATGATGAATTACGTGGACTCTGCTTTACGAAGAATATGGAGAAAAAGTATTTTACGAAGATTTCAGAAGCACGAGTGATTTGTAATCAGTTACTCTTTTCATTTAAATCGAGTGTTTAAATGTAGAATTTAAAAAATTTTATTGATTAACTAACATGAGAGAGCGTTGTTGAAGAGTTCGATTTGATTCACAAAGAATTGTTAAACTATTTATTAAAAGATTAAATTCGTATTACACAAATTATGACTTATTATTTCTCGTAATTCTTCCAGAAATTTTAATTTTACCATTCATGTTTTATATGTAGATGTTTAAATCGTCTTATCAATCGTTATTGCAAAGTCAACACTGCTTGCATTGTAGCTTAGTTCGATAAAGTTTGCAAAGAGATCGACATATCGAATCGTTTTTGAATCGAGTAGGCTTTTAAGCTTTGATTCATTGGCAAATACGTCCATCTGCTTCGCCTTTTCAAAGATGGATTTGATTCTTTTATTCGAGCGGCCGAGGTATTTTTATTGTTATGAACAGAAGAAAAAGCAACTATTTATCTGATTAGTTTATTTCTGTGTAATTCCCAACTTAGATATTTAAAATATCTTAATTTTCTTACTAAAATTTCTCGATAAATAATTAGTGCAGCGGAAATCGGTTTTTTTTTGTTTTTTTTTTGTTTTTAGAATTCTGTAAAAATAGATGGAAGCTTTTTAATTCTATTATTGAGGAAGATTGAAGTAAAGAAGTGAATATTTTTAATTGACATTGCTTTTAATTCTTTATGAGAATAATTGCTTTTTTCTGTTTCCTAGGCATCGACATGATGAAAATGAATAAATTTATTACTAGACAATCTGATGATTTAAATTCTTTTCGGTCGCGTTTATCCGAGATTACTCTCTCTAACGTATAAGCTAAAAATCTATAACAAATGGCAAATTGCTGGGCAATGTTTTATCTATTAAAACAACGTGTTTGGCTTCTCGTATTACTGCTTGTTGCGCCCCTCGACCACGCGCGGCGCAAGAGCTGTCATCGGCGTCCTAGAAACAACTTCGGTAACACGGGAAGCGGGATATTAGTGAACAATGGTGGCCATAATGCTTCCTGCCGGTTATAACGCCGAGTTATACCTGCCTGCAACTTGAGTCAAGCGCAAACCTAGGATTGGATGGCAGACAATTTAAGCTCGGCTTACGATTTAAACAACGGTTGCTGTACAAGCGGGCCTCTACCCGCCTCCCCGGCTCGCTCCGTTTAAACACTCTTACAACCACCCAAATGTGGTATGGATTAATTCATTCAACGTCCCTATCTGCATCCGGGAAGGGGCTTTTGGGCGCTTAAAGCGGGAAATAAATCTATCCCGCGCGGCGAGTCTCCGAGATCGCAGCAGCAAAGAATCTAAATTGCGGGTGCCGTTGTAATCCATCGTTGTCACCCGCGCGAAATAAATGATATCCGTAATTGTACCTACCGTACATTTTATTAAGCTGGCCATTGTTCGTCGCCGAAAGTAAACTGTCTAGTGGTGCGTATTTCCGCGTCGTATATTTCGCACTGAATGCGGCCGTCCGGTTTCCACTTTATGTAAATACGAACACGTCCTTCCCGGATTGGACAAATGAGCGTCAGTGTCTGACAATCACATTTCGCGTTAAATAAATGCTTCCATCGGCAGACGCATCTGCTCCATTTACCTCACTTTGGGAATTTCACGATTTTGAACAATACGGCACGCATCCGCAAACGCACTGGAACAAGCGGCGCGAATTCTCGTGCGAAAAATTCTTACGCTCATTCCGAATTATTGTAGCGATAATAATTTTGTAACTTGCAACGCACTTTCGGAACTGCGAAATAATGGTCGCCGTGCTAACTTCGCGTTACGTCAAAAGTTCCGGCGAGCGTTTAACATACGTCCGACGCTATTTATGGGCCATGAAATATTTCCGCGTTATAATTGCGCCTTCAAGCCTGAATTCATAATGCCCATTCTCCTCCGGCGCAGTATCCCCGCTCCCTTTGTGCCCTGCGGGCACTTAAAAAGAAAGATATGCAAAGGGCATTAAATAAATTTACACTCTCGGCGCTCCCTCGCTCTTCGCGCAAACGCGCACGTGAACTGATTATTTTCGTCCTTTTTTTTTCCCCCCTTTCTTACATCCGGATTTAGGATATCGCGATAAATCGCTAAATTCATTTGTAATTTTTACGCTGGCCCTAATGAGAGATTCTCGTGTCCGCGACTAAATTACTTTCCTGTGTTTTTACTCAGAAATAATTTTTTTTTCTTCACAGAAAATTACATCGACGTCACCCGATGAAATATCGAGTGTGGACCATCGCATAAATCATAAAGTTAATGAATTTTATTAATGAACTAATTAACGAATTTAAATGTAGCCACTATTAGTCATGAAAAAAAATGTTCAAATCCACGAGAACAAAACTGCGAAGCGAGCACGTCTCTTGACGGGAAAAAATTGCCGGGTTATTAGCATGAAGAAGAGATCAGCTCGGTCGAGAATCGCAGAACCGTGTCAGGAAATTGGAACAGCCGGCGACCGCGTGCCGCCTCCCTCGCGGTTTATCCCCCGGTGCTTTTAATTTCAAGCCACCGGGCTCTTTATACCCGCGAGAGGCATAATTATCCATAAGAGGACGGAAGAAAGGGCATTGAATATTTTAGCTCTCGCTTCTTGCGCACCGTCGACCTTGCTTTTTTTCCATTCTCCTCCTCCCATTCCTCTTCGCTCTCACACTAACGCTCCTCCGTTCCGACGAGGAACGTTAATGAAAATAAAAACGAATAAGTGAAGAAGTGGAAGAAGACTGGCGACGCGAAGAGCGAGAATGGAGGAGAATCCCTCTCTCGTCCAAGGCCTTACGGTCCCGGGATTAGGTAGGGAAGTTACGTCAGGCGTTTTGCGGCTAGCTTTGCATAAGTTTTTCGGTCTCTCTTGTTTCCCTTTGTTTGCGTTGTTTCGTACTCTGTCTCTTTGTTTCTCGCGATTCTCAATTCGGATATCCGATAAAAATGCAGAGCTGCGTATTAACTCTTACACCGTAATCCGGACTATTCTACTTCGCTTCTGAGCCGTTAAAGTATATCACTATTCGCGATTCAGCAGTTATGTTACATTTCAAATTCTGAGCTTGTGTGAAAAATGACTCACGCGAATAGGATCGGAGTATTCCTTTGACTGATTGATGTTACGCATAACAAATAATCGCTATTTTGAAATTTTTGTCAATACTTGAAGCAAAATTTCTGCCGTCAATTTGTAAAAGTGAGCGATTCTGTTTTGTTTGTATAAATAATTAATGTCGAGATATAATTTCGTGCAAATGAATCTCGAGATAAAAATTATCGTTGTTTTGCAGGAATCAGTAATCTTGTTTATCGTTGTAATTAATATGAAGGGCGATCACGATATGATACTTACATGAGTGACTCGAGGCATAATGTTGGTTTCGTCATAAAAGTCAGCAGATTTATTTTATCGTCGCAGTTAGTGTGAAGAGAGGACAGCCGACGAAAATGAATTGCATCGATATGCAAATGCCGCGTGCATAATCGTGATACGTCCCGAAAACATTTTTTCTGCTGTAGTAAACCCTTACAAGTGGACAAATGCATCTATTGTATTTTTCTTCCGATGATTTTATGCGTTAACGCAAATTTTCGTTTTCTTGTAAAAATCTTATTTTAGTGCTCGGCAATAGTTGCAAACCGAAAGAAATTATCACCTCGATATCGAAAGGAGACTTCGCGAGATGATCTTCGGCAACTTTACAAGTCGTGCACGTCCGATATAAAGTATCTCGCGTTGTTGAAGTGGAGGGGAAAAAAACCGGAAGATCTGTCTTTCGTGACGCGTTTCGCCTCCTCGAACAATTCCGCGCAGCCGGTGTTCAAGAATGAGGTATAAACCGTTGATAAATGATCACAGCAGAAAGAACAGCCTCGTAATTGTAGTCTTATTAATGGCTCGCAACTGCACGTTGTAACGACCTGTAGCTATAACACGCATCTCGTTTATATCTCGTAACCGTAATCTGCCAATTTACGGCGTGAAATCGCTTGTAGCACGAGAACGTGCATGAGGGTATTCAGACAACGAAAAACGTGGAAAACAAAATATCCAGAATAAATTTTTAATAACTTTGCAAAAATAAATTTGTTAAAACTATATATAATCCGAAAAGTTTAATCCGCTTTATTATAATTTTCTAGATATAAATATATATATTTGAAAATCCTGAATAACGTTTCTTCCAGAATTTAGATTATCTTAAATTTAAAATTAATTTCTATTTTAATTAGTTAAGAATATTAATTTTTATTTAAAGCAAAGTCTGAAGTATCAAAGAAATAAGTTCTTCTGGGGCGATAACTTTGTTCCGTAACCTAGATTACATTTTCAGGATGTCCCGGGGCCAAGGGGGATGGTTCGACGAACCTTGCACTTCCAGTAGTGCAGGTCGCCGCAGTGGTGCACGGCAAACGGCGGGACCATCCTCGAGAACGTCAACTTCCGCCTCAGAGGAGCGAGCTTCCGGCGGCACGCCGTGCAAAGGTGGCTTCAGATTAGGTGTTTATGGCTGGAGAAAGAGATGCCTGTACTCCCTTGTGTTGATCCTTATGGTCATCGTCATTCTCAATCTCGCTCTCACCGTCTGGCTGCTGAAAGTCATGGGATTCAGTTCTGTAAGTTTATGCGTCGATGAGACATTACTTTTACACACACGATCGCTCTTACAAACCCACCACACTGACAAATGTATCAAAATTGTTTATAATTTTTATAACAGAAACGTGAAAAAGATAGATAAAGGTATCATTTTACTTTGCTGTCTTTGTCTGATTCGAAAATTGATTCGAGAACTTTGTATGACATCATCTCGTAATAAATAAAAACGCGACACGTGTTTATTTTTCAAATAATATTACTCGCAAACACATAGAAACGAACAAGTCCGGAATTACCTTCTCCCATTAGGAATCTCCCACAAATTCGATCTAGATAAGGACGTATGTAACTTTTCGACAGTCATTAAAGTCGACTTCTGTCTTGTGGTTTGGAATTAGTTTCGCGCGAGTTCCTGAGCCCGAATAACAGGCCTCGACGAGGGGCGCCGGATCGTACGAAAGCGCCGTACGGACGGGATGCATCGCCGACGGCTTTGAGGGAGGCGCGCGAGGGTGGCGCGCGAGGCGCGAAGGTGGTTAATATAATTCTCCGTAATTGCCGGAACTGTTACATCGGCGCCGCGGTGTTTCCGTCGCTGAAAATTGTCGTTTGCACTTCATACTTCTTCTTCTCCCAGACTTAATTCGGTCGCATTACAATTACCCGTCCCCGGAATCGACCGGGGGTTCATTAGTAAGTAAGTCGGCAGCGTTCGAGCGTCCTCCTTCGCTCTTCGCAATCCCGGGGAAACGCTGCCCGTACCAACTTCTTGATTGCGATAATGGCTGTAATGTAAAGGTCGTTTCAATGTAAATGTCTATGTCGCGCGCGACGGTCGAGATACGACTTTCCTACGAGTTTCGTAAGTTGTCGGGACATATTTGACAATTTCAGATCTAACGACAAGTTGTCTTGGTTTTTAAACGTTCTCGCGCAAAATGTATCTCGGTATTGCAAGTTTCAAGCATTTTTGAAAGGATTTTTCAAATGTTTATTTGCTTTTAATGATGTATTTAAGACACTAAATGTTTTTGTATAACAATGCACGAATCAATACTCTGTTACGGTAAAATATGTATAAAATTTAGGGAAAAATACGCTTTATTGTGAGCTGTAAATAAACAATTTTGCAATAATGTTACGATTTGCAATATCAATCAGAAATGAAAATCACGGGGACAATGTAATTTTCTTCCGGACAGACCGTTTCAAAGCGCAAAACAGCGACTGCAGCTTGCACAATGCACTTCGCTAGCGCCTGCAACACGCCAAGTTCGATTCAATTCACGCGCGCAGAGAGACCCGCATAAATTCTTCGAATCCACTTTATCGCCCGGTCGCATAATCGTACTGACGCTTTCGCTTCTGCAAATCGGCGTTCCCACGTATCCGAGTGGTGCAACAATGCCATGGATTCGCCGATGCTAAGCTGGCACCTAGTCCGCTCGATTAAGGCAAAAAACGATCGTGAGACCCTCCATCCCTCGTATCCGCCCTCGTTCTCCGCGTTTCCGTCGAACTGCAGCTACCTATTCGCCATTATCGAATTTATTCGAAATCGAAAGGAGCTCCCGCGATCTGGCGCAATGATCCCTGGATACGGGCTAAACTCAGTGGAAATTGAGTATCAATCCGTAAGTAAGGAGCCCGGGAGCAGCAGGGATACCCCGTGGGAAATGTAAGTCTCTGCCACTTCTTCTTTCCCGTTCCTCTTCACCCTTCCAGATCACTCCCTCTCTACTTCTCCGCCGCTACCTTTCCCGTTTTATGCCGCTTCCATCGCTCGCCAACCTCTTGCCACTCTCTCATCCCCCGTCTTTCGTCCTATCCTCTCACAGTGATTCTCTCATTTGATCTTCCATCCGGTTTTTTCGTGGCTCTTTCTCTCTCTCTCTCTCTCTCTCTCTCTCTTTCTCTCTCTTCTTCTCTCTCTCTCTCTCTCTCTCTCTCTCTCTTCTTTTCTGCTCTTTCTCCCTTTTTCTCATTCTTCATCTTTCAATCCCCCTCCTAATGCCGCTCGGTTTGCCGATTTGCGCCGAAAACTTCTCCGACTAGCATATCGCATTCTCTCTTCCTCTTTCGCCTGTCGTAAGTCGTAATTAGGGAAGGTAATTAAATTCTCGTTTATTGACCGATATTCGCGACGATAACTCATGTCCGATTAATTGTGCGACTCGGTAAATCAGCGAGACAATCAATTAGGAGTTCGGGCGCGTTAATTATTGCGCCCGGCCGGGCCGCAGGCTGCTCCGATCGACGATTTACGACGATTTTGGTTCACGGCGGAGAGCATCGGCATCAGCCACATCGGCGTAATCGACGTAAAGTAGGATATCTCGAGGAAAGTCAAATGTAAAATTTGTTCACGAATCAGTGTCGGCGCGAATTGAGGGAGGGCGCGTCGGTGGAATATAGAGATACGGCTTATGCGCGGCTTCGTATACGCCGCGCGCATCGCGTGAGGCAGTAAGAACGTGATTTTGTAGCGCGATGTACGTAAAATTTTACGCGTGAGAGAGGTGGATGGGATTTAGCGCATAAACGGATTGACCGCGGGAATTGAAACTGCATAAAACGTGATGTGACCCCGTGTTATTTTCGTGCAATTTAAATCGGACTTATTGGAGAAAATAAAAAAATGAAAACCGGCATTTTGCAAGAGCTGAAGCTGTCCGAAACTTTTATAATATGACAGTTTAAATTGTGTGATATGTGTGATTACACAAATTTTTATTGACTAAAACATGTTCTATAATTTAAAAATATACAATTCTGAGTAACGTAAAATATACATATATATACTTATTATGTTACTTATTTCGTACTGTTTATGATGTGTAAAGATATGATAGAATCTCCAAAATTTATCTGTTTTTTTTTTGTATTTTTATTTTAATGCAGTCAATCAACCGAAAACTAGAACGTAAAATGAAACAAAATGTACAGGACAATTGGATATAGTGCAAATTACGTAACAATATTTTATATCGAATTATCCGATATTCTTTTACTGACGGAACAAACTATAGAAAAAATTAAATTTTTCTATTTTATGACGATAGATTAATAATATCATAGTTACATAGAGTAAAAACTAAAATTTGTCGATGCAAGTAGATGATAAACTATTTTGTACGATAGTTTTATAGCGTCTTGTGAAAAGCGATTTTGTAATATGCATCTGTGATATCGCGTAAAAACTGGCGTTGTGCGTTACAAGCGCCGCAGAAATCAAGAGTCTAGGAATGTTACGTTGAGTCGGAAGCTGAAACTTCCCGGGACTCGGTTGATACCTATCTTGAAGTTTTCCGCTCCTATACGAGACGCTTCTAGGCGAGTGAAGGCGCGATGCACTCCGCAGACCGGGAAATATTTCATGCCTACTGTACTTCTCCCCCGTCTTTATCCACCCATCCTCTCCGACCATTTATATTTGATGAGAGTCTCGGTCTACCTCCCACTGCCTCTTTTCACTCTCGAGTTACCTCGTCTCGGCCAACCCCGGCCGACATCTTCCTCCCGCCCCGCCGTTCGCGCGAACGATACCGCAAAGAAATTAAATCATTTTTCTCAATTAAGAAAACCGCCTTGCGCGCGCTCGTCGCTGCGCTTTCGTAACTGCGAAACTTTCGCCGCGGTGGAATTAATTAAGCGCCCCTCGATTGGCGCGCGCTGTATTAATGAAGTCTTGTTCCATTGCGATCGACGTTATTCGTTGTTAATAATCGCGCGTGCGATGGTTTCTCACCGCGATATATTTATTTTGCAAATCGGAATGCTTCGCGCTTTGTTTCTTGAACGAAGCCTTTTCGACGAAGTTAAAACCGACTTTCTTTTTTAGCGAAAAATAAACTGCGCGCTTGATACCTTGATTCGCAGAACTTTAAGTATCTCGGTAACTAAGCTTCTTATAATTTAAGAAACTTCTCTCCTTCATTTATCGTTTATACTTTATACCACCCAAGATTTTGCCCCATCAATTTTTAATACTTTTGCGTTTGCGTTGTACCTACGTCGGTACATTTTTACTCGCAATTTTCAATCATGTTATTTGAGTACGATTTTATTGATTATATTTGCATTTCTTACGGCGACACGAAAAGATTTTCTCCGTCGTCTTATCGCTAGCGAATATTTCGGGTTCCTTTCGGGATTCCTATCAAGTTGAGAGGTCTTAGGAGAGATCTTCGATTACGGACAATATATAATACACCCTGAAACGTTATGTCGGACGGAGTGGTATACGGACACTATATTGGCACTAACGGCTTACATACATGGCCATAGCGAACAGATGCCCCTTCCACCTAATATCGCTTGCGGGACCTTACCCTCTATAACCCTTGTATTCATAGAGAATTCACCTGTATACATTCCTTCCTACATCGCCTGTGAAGATACATATTGCACACACACCCTCTATACCCGTACAAGGTGGCTCCTTTCGCAGGGTCTCTTCTCCATACAGAATCAATTGGAATTCATGTCTCCAAATGAACACTTCTCCACTCGAGTCGTGCACACGTACACTCGCACACGTTTCGGAGCATCGCGTGTAAAGTCGGATTCCTTAAATTTTAATTTTGAGATTTTCACAAAAGAGATCGCGCCGGAAATGGATTCTCGCGGCATTGAATATCCAAAATGTAGAAATAAATATGCATCAATTATTTCAAAATTAAATCACGAATATCTATTGGAAAAATATCTAATCGAGTTTTGCTTTAAAGAAGCATATTCTATCTATTTCACGTTCTTCAAATTACTGTCACAAACAATGAAATGACTGCCAATCTCTATTTGTACTGTCTAACGCAAGAAACACATTGCCATAATTTTATCAATATATTTATACGGATATAAGATTTCTTGCACAAATCAGGATGTTAAACAATAAATTTACGGTAAATCAGATAAATTAAAAACATCTGTGACAAATAAATTCTCAAGTCTGAGGTTTTATCAGGACAAAAAATAAAAGTGATGAAGCGGCGAGATTTTTTGCAAAAGTTGATTG